AAAAAGATACCCATAAAAATATCAACAACTTACCAACGTTAAGATTAATGTAACACATTTTATTCAGGGATTCAGTTTGGAGGGAGCACTGGTATGTTCCATCATCATTCAAGTTTACTGAAGACAGAGTAAGAGACAGATTTCCTTCAGTCAGTCCTTCGGTGAAAAGAGATGTTCGCCCTCTATACCTCTCATATTGCTCTGTGGGATGATTTTTTCCTCCTCGATAAAGGTGTACAACATTTTTCCCTTGCTTCCACTTTACTGTTTCTGCTGAGGCATCCATCGGTGGCTCCAGGTGACATGGCAAAATGACATCTTGACTCTTTACTGCCCCTACTGGCTCAGAGGGGCACACTAAATCTGGATCTGTTAAACAAAAAATAGACTTTTGTTTATATCTACCAGAAACACCAGCTAGAAGTGACCCCAAACTTTTTCAACAGTCTTCCCTTTGGCCGTTTTATGGATTTATGTTTTTCTCAGCTGCAACTTACACACCTGTTTTTCTCTACTTACTTATTCTTGCTTTTAATGTAAATTTAAATTTTTTTTCAGTTATTTTTAAAAGAAGACCTATACATTTGTCATCTTAGAATGAAACATTTTTAATCATCATTGTCTTAATTCTCTTTAAGGGTTTGATCAGTGGTTTTATGTGTACATATTCATGTTGAACCAAACACCATGTCAGCAAGTAAACAAGACTTAAGATCATGTTGTTTAAGAGGAGAGCAAAGTTTGCTGCCATTGTTGAAGGTAAGGAAAAGTGTTAGAGAATCAGTGGAAAATAACAAAAGGAAATCCTTATTTTGGTGTCGCTGTAAATGCCCTGTTTCCTTTTGTACAAGTATGACTGCCATTGACATAAAGTTACCAACCACACGGAGACAACAAATATTTACCATCCGAAGGCTCCTCATACTTACCTTGGTATTAATCAGCTAAAACTTTGTTGTGATTTTAAATAAAAAAAGTTATATGCTATAATTAATTATGTATATAATAAAAAAATTATAATGGGTGACCAACATTATAGTATGTAAACTGGCTTGACATGAATTTACCTATTCATTTCCCCACCTGTTTTTCTAAGAGGGAAAAAAATAGATCATCTAAGTTAACTCATATTTATTGAATAATTATTTACAGTTTGCTGGGTTTTATTTTTAAGAAAAACAGAAGTAAATGTTTATTTTTGTCCCTTAAGCATATTAGCTGTGGTTTTGTCATGTGCGTCTGTCATTTTCTCCCTGAAATGTGTCAGCTCTAAAGATCTTTTTTGTAAAGCTACATAATATTAGGCATTTTAATCATTTAGACATATAGTGAGGCTTTTGAACCAAAAGGATAAACTAATTCTTTTTAATACAGTATTTTTAATAAAAGCATTGGGGGGTGAAGAAATAATATTATCCTGACCATGTTTAGGGAAGGAGGCAACATGTGACTGACTAAAAAATGAAATGAAATTTCTTTTTCTTTACACTTATGTGTACAAAAGTCTAAGACTGCTTTGGAAATTGTTGTCTGGATTAGTTTATATCTGGGCAGTGGTATTAATACATTTCTAGATTATTAAAAAAGTCAGCTGATTTATATCATTCACATTTAAAACATACAGATGTGAACACAATCACATAGGATTACACTAATTCACAGTAAAAGCATGAAAAAAAGGTAAGGCAAAATGAACTGATAAAGAAGATAAGGGACTTACCGTTGATGTCCAGTGCTAAATCAGAGCAAAAAAACAGCAAAATTACAGGAATCAACTCCATAGTGAATAACTTGAAATAGTTGGCGACTAAATTACTATTATTAACTGTCCTTTGATGGAGACACCTTCACATGCACTCTCTATCGTCCCACTATGGGCAGTTTTATATAGGGAGGAGAGGGGAGTGGTTAGTGGCATAGCAGGGCACCGACACAAAGAGGGTGGATCCATATATTTTTTGTAAATTTTATATATTTTCTGACTACTTGGTTGTGGAGAACTAAAAATCTAGCTTCATTGGATATACATTAAAAAATAAAGAACATAATATATAATAAGTGTTTTTCGTAATCCTACAGAGGCTCTTGATTTAAACCATTTAATGTTTCTCTTATTTTTTTTATTAGAAATAGGGCCTTACTATTAGTGTACTTTAAAGAAAACCCTTTAATCCTCAGGTTTATTTAACTTACCCTCCTGTTCTTGTATAGATTACAACATCATTACTTGTAGTGTTAGCACTTTGTAATAGGTTAAATCAGAACTTTAATCAGATCAAAATAATGTTTTCAGGCTGGTTTTTCACTTCCACATCTCAGTGGTCAAAGGTTTTCATAGATTCCCACAGTAGGAAAATTTTGTTGCTCATTTTTTTTTTTTTTTTTTACATTTTCATCACATTTCCAGAAGAAACTTTGTGATAGGTTCACGTGAAGATGGTTCTAGTTCCAGAGGTACAAACATTTGCAGAAACAGGTGCTAAAACTCAGTGATTTAAACTATTCATTGGGTCACTATTGTTAAAGTCGTAGGGGAGCAGCTGTTCCAACCGTTGCATTACTGAATTCTCCCGAGTGGTGCACTACTTTACACGAGTGTATAAAAGTGAATGTGGTGATTGGTTGTTTTATTAAGGGGGCGGGATTGTTTTGGCGGAAGGTTCGCAAGCAAGTTTGGTTGTGGCTGTTTTGTCAGACGCATCTTGCTAACCAGTTAGCATCTTAGTGCTAGTAGGTTCCCAATGGGAAATTCCATTGGGACCAAGTAGCACTAAATTGGTGACTTAGAAACGACAATGTCAAGGAACGCTATGGACAGCGGAAACATGCAAGAGGAGGAGAGTTTAGTGTCGGAGGTCGTGGATGAGTCTCCTCCATCATCCATTTTTTATTTAGACGAGGAAAGCAGGGACGAAGATTTTGTGGAAGAGGACGCCAGGGCGGCAGAAGCTTGGTTTGGTGTAGAAGGCTTCCAGCAGTACATGTTTGAGCCCTTGCCTCGCAACGCTGCCAATTCTGTTAGCTCTATGCCTGCTGAAGACACAGACGTCCATCCCTGTGAACACTGGGACAGAACTAATTTTTAAAAAAATATAAATTTTCTAACTTTTCAGACAATATAGTCTGATACAGGGTACATTTATGTATATGTTTCAGCCAGAATGATTTCACATTTAAATATGTCTTCTCTACGACTTTAAGGATCACGTACGCATAACTTTTCCCCTTAAAACAGTCTGATTATCTTAACTATTTGTGCTTATAGGCACCAACAAACGCTTTGCTCCAATTCTTTGTATCCAAACTCGTAAGGATTGCCCCAATCAGTTAATAAAGGGTTAGTTTGTGTTGGTATAAAGATGCCATTTATTCAGAAATAATAGAATATTATTTTTCAATTTATATGCCAAATAGGACTGCATTACATAAATCCAAAGAGAGTGTTCATTTAAGAAAATCCCTTTACATAAAGTTAGGGAATAAACATCAGATCCTCTATTGTCTATGATTTCATTGCATCAGAAAGACAGCAGTAGTTGGAAGGTTTGTTTCAAATAAGATTAGGTTAATTACTGATTATCATTTAAAACAAACAAAAGTGAATAGACTAAATGCCTCAAGAGCCTAAAATACCCATTTTCTAAGCACCTAACTGAAAATGAAATTTAACAATTAAAAATTTTCTTAAATTAAAAGCATTAAATTATAAATTAACAGTGGCCAATACACTAAAATGTGCAGATCTCACATTTTATAGATTTTATAACTTTTTTGTTCATGCATTTGGCCTCTCTTTGCTGAGGTGATTTAAGCCTTTGTCCTCAATCTAGGAGAACCAGGTTCTAACCCTTGGTACTTCATTAACTCATTTACTATTAAAGACTTCCTTAATCAGCCGATATGATTCTTCACTTTATCTTACAACATTGTGTTTATCACAGAATTAACTCCAGCAGGAAATCTGTTCCTTAACTTAAAAAGAGAGAGATGAAAGATTTTAAAACAAAAAAAAAGATTGGTTTAGGTATTGTAATTTACATAATACATGTATTTTTTTGACAAGCTTGAGCATAACTTACTCCTTCCAGAAGGTTGGGAATTTCTGTTTAAAAATAGAAATGTCTTCATAGCTCCAGAGGGGAGGTAAATGGGTTTCAGACATCATCCCCAGAAAAGCTGTAATGATCCTAAATGTAATTTTCATGAAAAATCAAATATGGGCATTTCTCCAATACCTTAAACATAGCAATAGTCTAGTATTAGTCTTTTGAATTTTCCTTTCAAAATTAGAGCAAAAGCCAGCTTTAAAGACACATTGAACTATGACAACGTCCACACGTAATATTATAAAGCTAGATACTAACTTATTAGTGTTGAAATTATGAAAACATTGAACTATATAATATATATTAATGGTTTCTAATGTAGGCTGATAAAAAAAATAATAATACAAGCAGATTGGGTAACAGAATCACTGACAAAACTCTTTGTTTCTGTAACCGCTGACTGTCACCATTCATCTTTTCGTCCGCTTTTCCATTAGAGTGAAGGATGAGCAGAAGTGGTACTGGTATCCATCTTACTGAGGCACATAAAATCAGCAGGATGTGAAACTGGAGACTGTTAAAGTGAACGTCTGTGGTTTGTGGTTTCTCTAGAGGCAGAAAAATATCAGCAAGATAAATGAGAAAATTCCAACCAAAAAGAGAAGTGGTGTGTGCAAGGGGAACAGTGGGCTTCAGACTTTGAAGCACAAAGCCAGCGATTTGCTGACATATATTAAATATTGGTGTACGGGCATAGCGTTAAATCCACTGTTGTTTTCGTCAACAATTCCGAAATTATTTCGTTGATGCTTCTTTTTTTTTCACGACAATATCAAGAACTGACGACCTTTGATGATGAAAACATGACGACTCATTGGTGTGAGTTTTCGTTGACAGGACGACAAGGGAAAAAAAAGACGTTAGCACCTGGTCTGTCAGATGTTTAAAATGCACCATTGTGATGTAATCTGCTAAACAGAATCAGCTGTGCTCCTGCGTATTGTTTGGTCATGCTGCCCACCTGCCGTGCAGCAGTGCACATTCTGCATTACCAAAGATGGAGCTTGGCAGCAACAGCGGGGTGAAAGTAGGCTGAAATGGTCCAGTACTGTGCTCTACTCTAAAAAATTCTGTTATTCCACCATTACTTGCAGAAAAGCAAGTACAGCTGCGCCTAGCTCCAAGGTTGCACATTACGCACTATACTGATGGTTCACTCACATCAGTATGGCTCTTCCTGGTCTCGATACAGAGAGCAGGAAGCAACAAAGTCTTTAACAAGAGTCAAGACCAGAAGATCAGAGATCCGAAGAGGTACT